AGAAGCATTTGTCAGAGAAAAACAGTGATGTTAGCGACAAAACATCGGACACAGCGATATTCTCTCATTTCTTCTGACACGAGCACCTTGCAAAACATTAGCTGTTTCGAAATGTTTTGATAATTTTTTTAGCATCGTCACCTTGTTCTGAGAATTTCCGCTTCAGCATTGCCGCCGTGTCCTGAGCGTTATCTTTTCTACTTACGACCGTTATACCATAATTTTTTTTTTTGTTTCGTTTTATCAAAAAGCATAAAAGCATAGAAGTACAGATGTTTATTCGTTTCAGGTAATGGTTACAACCGGCGGGACGGATCTTCGTGATGATATAATGCGTCTGAATGGTACCGTTCATATTGTTGTTGCTACTCCTGGCCGTATACTGGATCTTTTGGATAAGGTAATCCAAGTAACCTGATTTTGAAAGCATAATTTGCTGCTGCAGGAGACTCAGTATTTTTGGCCTGACTCAAATCCGGTAACAATAAATGAAAGAAATAACTCTCCGATAGAAGGTTTTTTGAGTATCATTTATAATAAGAAATAATAGAATAGAAATATTGGTCTTAAGTGTCATGTGTTGGAGGACATTTTACGATGCAGTTTTTGTTACATCCCTTAGCTGTTAACACAGACCGAACTGCGCATGCGGATAGAAGCGGGAATCATCAGTACAGCCTCCTAACGGCCATTTTCCGAACAGTCATGCAGCTGATTGGCAAGATAGATATGCGAAAGAAAAAGTTAGAAGTTTGTGTGTTCACGGGAAAATGATCTTTTTTTTTTGCAGAATGTAGCGAATATGTCTCACTGCAATATGCTTGTGTTGGACGAAGCGGACAAGCTGCTCTCTCAGGATTTCCAAGGTATCCTCGATCGTGTCATCAAATACCTGCCGGCCGATCGTCAGATTATGCTCTATTCGGCAACATTCCCGCTAACGGTATCCGAATTTATGCACCGACACATGCGCAACCCATACGAGATTAATTTGATGGAAGAACTGACACTGCTTGGTGTTACACAGTACTATGCTTATGTGCAGGAAAAACAAAAAGTCCACTGCTTGAACACCTTGTTCCGCAAGGTATGCTTCTTTTTTGCTGTTTGTATGAAACTCGCTTTACTGAGGAGCTGATATACTCAGTAAGTAACGAACGAATTGACTGGGCTTTTTGAAGATCTGTGAGATTTGGAGGCCAAAAAATGAAAAAAAAAAAGTGGAATTAGTTGGGAGCAGAGAGCCGACATGCTTGGAATCTGTAGTTTTTGCCGACTGAGATACTCAAACTGCAGTAAATTTGATTTTGTATTCAAGCTCTTTCTGTATATTCACTTTCTCAGAGGCAAAGGTAGCCTGAGGTGCCTCAAGTGCAGGTACTCACGAAAAGGGAGAATTCGCTAGCTCTCTCATTATCTCAAGTATATGTCTGTGTGTTTTTAGCTGAAGCATTTATTTTTAGCTCCAAATCAATCAGTCAATTATTTTTTGCAATTCAACACAACGTGTGGAGCTGTTGGCGAAGAAAATCACAGAGATCGGTTATTCTTGCTACTACATTCATTCACGTATGGCGCAAAATCATCGTAATCGGGTATTTCACGATTTTCGTCAAGGAAATTGCCGCAATTTGGTGTGCTCCGATTTACTCACCAGAGGTATTGATATCCAGGCAGTGAATGTTGTCATAAATTTCGATTTCCCACGCAATTCCGAGACATATCTTCATCGCATAGGACGGTTGGTTTTTTTTTTTGTATTTCAACTGCATAATTCAGACTCATTCAAACAGTGATGCTTTAAGTGGAGATGGGTATGAGGGACATAGTATTTAGTTTTCTCGTTTTTTGGGTTATATCAGATGACCTGTACTGGAAAAGGCCTGGAAAAATCGGTGACGAGCACTGAAGAAAGTAAAATCGACCAATCAAGACGCGTTATTCGCTTTGCTAGTAACTGATGGAAATTTTGCGAAAAAAAAAAAAAAAACGAGCGTTTGGACAACCTCGAAAGAATCGTTTGATCAAATGATGCGCCTCCAATGATGAATCGGTGGTATATTTCGAACAAAACAACAACGTACTATAAGCAAAACCTTTACGAAAAGAGACACAGATTGGCTGTGACCTCAAAATATGCAATTTTCTATTAGCTCCACAGATAACTGTCGTTGTTTTCCAACAATTCTTCTATGAATTCGAGAA